ACCAGAGTCCACGTAGATTGGTAGAAATCCTACCGTTTGGGTTTGTGTCTTCACTTCAGTAAGGGATAGCTTATATCCTAATGGATGTAGATAAATGATGCCTGGGCGGCTTCCGATCTTCTGGATCGGCGAGCAAACATTTATTGTTCTCGGCCCCGGATGATAGGTACCAAACGTCATTTCGAACTCGCAGAGGAAGAAACTGACCAGCTGCTAGTTTTCGCTGAACTTGGTAGTGGCCAAGATAATGTTGTAAACATGTACTACGGCGAGCGCTGGAGGGTCCACCGGCGGATTATGCATCAAAATATCGGTATACAGCAAGTCAAGAAGCACGGCGCCTTCCAAAATCTTGAGAGTAAAGTTGTCGCATTTGATCTATTGACAAGTCCGGAGGAATATGTCTCTCATTTTGAAAGATATGCAACAAGTGTAGTATCCATCATTGGTTTTGGTAGACGAGTGAGCTCGTCACAAGATCCGATTATCACTGAGGTAATTGCGGTTATGCACAAAGCCGCAGATCTGAATGTTCCGGGAAAAACGTAAGTTTACCTAATGAGTAACTAAGATCTCATATCTGACATTCCGATAGATTTCCCATGATGATTGAGACGTTCCCGGGTAGGCTTTCAAGAGTAAACGCGATTTAATCACTTACTCAATGTCTATAGTTTTGGCGAAAGTGCCAGAGAAATGGGCTCCATGGAGGAAAGGACTTGGTGACAGAAGAAGAAAAGGAGGTAAGGACTCAAAGGGGAATAGACAATAAATAAACAACTGATCGACAAAGGTCACTACTTCTTTCACTCCCTTGCCGACGAAGCGAACCGAAGGGAAGGGCACGAGGATAGTTATGTTAAGAAAGTCTTTAAAGAGCAACCAAAATATAATCTTAGACCAGAGGAAATATCTGCCTTAACAGGAAACCTTTTCGGGGCTGGTGCAGATACATCCGCCTCTACTCTTATTACGTTCGTATTGGCCTGCTGCGCATTCCCAGAAATGATGAAGCCAGCTTGGGAGGAGCTTGACCGTGTTGTTGGCCCTTACCGTAGTCCTTCGTTTGATGACGAAAAGAATCTTCCGTATGTCCGAGCATTCGTCAAAGAAGTGTTCCGGTGGAGGTCAGTTGCAATCATCGGAGGCCAACCGCATGCACCGATTCAAGACGACTACTATAAGGGCTGGTACATTCCAAAGAATACTTGGGTCCAAGGGAATGTATGGGCAATTCATCATAATGAACGTGAATTTCCCGATCCAGATCGTTTTAACCCAGGAAGGTTCTTGGAAGGCAGTAAAGATCACCGACCATTCCCAGCAGAAAAGGGGTACATGACCTTCGGATGGGGTCGTCGAGTCTGTAGTGGTCAAGCATTAGCAGAGCAGGGAACGTACATTACAATAGCCAGAATACTATGGGGCTTCAACATCCGAAAAGCCCGCGACAAGCAGGGAACTGAAATTCCAGTGGACATATTCAAGTATACAAACGGATTGAATATGAGACCAGAGCCCTTCAAATGTCAATTCGTACCCCGTTCGGAGGAGATTAGAGAAACGATCGAAAGGGAGGGAAGAGCGGCTTTAGATGAATTGCAAATATACGAAGGTACCACGGAATACAAGATGTCGGACTTCTATAAAAAATAGACCTAGTACTGTATAGAATTTACGTACGAGATAGATGTAATGGACTTGTGAACCAACCCGTAAAACTATCTTCCTCAGCTTCTATGGGACTTCGGATAAGTACCTCTGCCCCGTCATGAGATTTTCACGGTCACTGTACGGTCATTCTCATATTTCGCGTCAAGAGAGCCAAAATCGCAAAAAGAACTATTAGCCGTATTTGCACACTACTGAATTAGATGTACAAACTCTACGTATGCTCTTGAAATTTTCCCAACTTGCCTGGATAAACGCTTGAAAATGTATGTATGGTACAGAAAGAACACGTGGAATCTGACCGTACAGCGACCACATATTGATTGAGACTTCAAAATCAACAGTTATGGTAAAGTCAAAGTAGTGAGATTGACAATGTGTTAGATAAACTGGATCTGCAGGTGCACTGAGTATATCGCTTGATTTGCTACTACTGAGAGATGCGGACTATTTGTATACAGAGCGAAGACAACGAGCATGAATCAAAGGAAATGTAAGGGAACTGCAATCACTGGGAATCACCGTATATCGAGTATTGACGAATATATTAAGACTAGAGATTTCCAGTAGCTATGGAGTGGGCAACTTGATGTTGGAGTTGCCCAGAGATCTAATCTGATAAAAAAGGTCACGTGATAGGAGGAATGAGATTTGTGGTAAGGGAACCGTGACACTACCCCCCTCCCCGAGCGGCTACTCCGAAGCCGTGCACTTCCGATGCTCGAAACTCACTTGCTAATCATCTACTATGCACCCCCTAGTAGCTTCGTGCTTCTTGTTGTTGCATTTGTCACGTCACGTCGAGGTATGTCTGATAACGTCAGTTCGTTGGAACGTTCTGCAATTCGTAGCTTGAATCTGAAGACGGAGCTCATGCTGTAGTCAGGCTGCTTTTGTTTAGTCTATCTTCTAACTTAAATGTTTGGATCTGCTGTTAGTCCGGAGGCAGATATGCTAATTTGTAGGAAGTCCTAGTAACCGCCTTAGTCGGCACGGTGGTCGTTACTTCGGAGAAGCAGAGCGCCCCCTTAATTTGGTATCATCTAGAGAGTCTGTTACTACGTAGTGATCTCCTCCGGATACTAACAGTGAGTCCATCAGATGTTCCCATTGTTCGCGCTTGCTAAACAGCTCGTGTGGTCCAGGTTTTGCCGGGTAAGCTTCATGAAATCGTTGTACCTCTCCTGGGCAGTGTAGCATATTCGGCCAGTCGTTCCAGCTATTGTCGCTATCCGGAAACCCTTTCCATTTTACTAAGTAACGCAGCAAGCCTTTCTTCCGTGTGATTGGATCGTTCGATCTCCTATCTATCTTCGAGTTCAATATCATTTCCACTTCATATTCCGCGGAACCGTCGTCGTGTGTTTGCGCTGGTTGTGGCGCTTCTTCAATCTGCACTGGCAGCGGCGTGGTGTCTTGTAGATGAAGTAGAAATGAATGGAACACTGGAAAGATCTTCATGGTTTTAGGAAGTTTCAGCTCGTAAGCAGCGTTGTCTATGACTCGTATAATTTCGAATGGACCTTCGTGCTTATGGTCAAGCTTCTTGTTCGGACGTATGGTCTTTATATTCCTTGTGTCAAGCATGACTCTATCGCCGACGCGTAGCTCTGGTGCTGGCATCCTCGTGCGGTCTGTGGCTTCTTTCTGCTTTGCCTGCGCCCATAACATATTAGCTCTTAGCTCCTTTCGTAGGCGCTCGATTCTTTCTATAGTGAATCCGCGGCTTTGATGTCTCTGATCTGAGGAGCTGGTGTCGTTATGCGTGACGGCAGTGGTAGTGGTGGTTCTAGTCCGCATCTCGGTTGGTAACCCTTTGTAGCTTCGAACGGGGATATTCCAGTGGTCTCGCTCTTGTGCGAATTGGCCTCGAATTCGGCTACAGCGATAAAATCTACCCATTCATCTTGGTTGAAATTGACGAAGCAGCGTGGGTATGCTTTCAGCACGCCGTTAGCATTCTCAGTTTGGCCATCTGTCTCCGGGTGCCATGCTGTGGATAGTTTTGGCTTTGTGCCCACTCTCTGACAGAGTCGTCTCTAGAAATGCGCGACGAACTGCGACCCCCTGTCGGAAACTATGCTCTGTGGGTAGCCTTCTTCTCTCCAGATCCAGTCTATGTATGCTGTTACCACGTCTTCAACCTCGAGTCCTGGAATTGGTATAAACTTCTTCTTCTTCGATAAGCGATCTACAACCACTAAAATGTGTTTATACGTTCTACCGTTTCTCGAGCAAGATGGTAGTTCTACGATGAAGTCCATTGCTATGTCCTTCCAATATCTATCCGGCACTGGAAGCGGTCGAAGTACCCCGTGTTTCCTCTCGTGATATACCCCGGATTGTCTACAAATGATACAAGCCTTGACGTATTGGGCGACTGTTGCTGTCATCTTTGGTCAGTAGTAGAATTGGCTGATCCTCTCATATATGGTTATGCGTCCGGCGTGGCCCGTAGGGAGCGACTTGTGCCAGCTATCGAGTATCTTGGTGCGTAGCTCCGCGTTGTCAGGAATCCATATTCTGCCTCGGTGTAGTAGCAATCCGTTCTGTATAACGCAGTCGCCCAGCTCAACTCTTAAACCTCGTTTGATGAGTTCCATTGGTATGCGTCTATCGCCTTTCCTTTTGCACAATAGGATTGTCTGGATGGTCTCGTCATTCTCGGAAGACTCTTTGATCTGCTTGAGTATCTCTTCTATAGATGCCGTGTCGTTTCTGCCTGGCTCCTCTGGGTCTGTATTAGCACCGAGTTCTGGTGGTTGTTCTTCGCTTAGGTTATAGATTATTGCGGTGAGTTCGGCGGTGTCTAGTTGTACCCTATCTGTGATTACTATGGCTAGGTGGATAGCTCTTATAGAGTTCTTGTCTATATTCTCCGGTCGTAGTATGCTGCGAATTTGATGCATCTTTCTGGGATCGGTGTCTGATAAGGGTAGGTCTTAAGATCCTCTGGTAAGCGCGTCTGGTTTTGTCCCTTGCCTTCCTGGTCTATACGAGATCTTGAAGTTGAATTCGGATAGGAACTCGGCCCATCGTGCTTGTCGGCGATTTAGCACCTTTGTTATCATGAATCGTTCCAGGTTTTGGTGATCTGTGATCACTTGAATGGGGTCGTCTTCCGCCGTTCCCATCAACTCTGGCTTCCATTCCTCGAAGGCACGGACAATCGCGAGTAGCTCTTTATCGTAGATGTCGTAATTACATTTAGCCGGCGATATCTTCTTAGAAAGGAACGCGACCAGTCTTAGTATGCCGTTATCGTCTAATTATGATAGGACTGCTGCTACTACGTAGTCTAAAGCGTCCGTCTCGAGCTAGGACTCCTTATCTGGGTCGAAATATGCTAGGATTGGTGCTGATGTAAAAGATCTCTTTAGGGTATCGAAAGCCCTTTATTCGTCGCTATCCTCGTGCTAAGGGTGTAGGTGTACTCTATATTCTATCTTTATTAAGCGTGCTAGTGGTGCTACTATAGTTAAGTAGCCCTTTATAAATCTTCTATAGAAGTTCGCTAGATTTAAGAATACTTAAATATCTTTTAAATATTAGAGTATTTATTAATTAATAATAGTTATAACGTAAAGCATCACCGAGTGTCGCACACCACCGAGTGTCGCAGAATTTCTTGGCAGCTATTACCTCTACTACAACACGAAATGTCTCAATAACAACAAGATAATAAAGCTCAACAAGAAGGCCGAATAGAGCTTGCACTTCAAGCCTATAAGGAAGGCCAATTTCGAAGCCTACGACGCGCCGCCGCCGCGTATAACGCGTGCCCACGAAAGCTTCAGCGAAGATACAACCAAACCCTCGCCCGAGCCAATTGCCAGCCTAATTGCCAGAAGCTCACCGCGACCGAAGAGCAAACGATCGTCCGATATATTCTTGACCTCGATTCGCGAGGATTTGCGCCCCGGCTGTGTGAGGTAGCAGATATGGCAGA